AAATTGTCCAGGGGGCGGTAAGTAGTAATAGGGGGGCGGTGAATAGTAAATGAGTATTTTTGTTGGAATTTCCGTTGGAATTATTCCAACGGAAGCTATACCATTAGAATATCCGTTGGAATTTCTATTGGAATATATTACCATAGGATTTTTCGTTGAAATATATAACATTTTTTTTGTAGTGTAGGATATATTTTAAATAAAAGAAATAAAAAACTATGATAACAATTTCTACTTAGTTATATAAAATTTAATTCGTCATCTTTAGTAAAACACTTAATATTAAAGTTTAGGGTGGTTAAATATTTTATAAGCACTGGGGTCAAGAATTACCGATATAACCAAAGTTTTTATTCATAATAAAATAATTTGAAAATGCATGGCTTAAGGACATAAGACCCAGGTATTTAAAAAAGTTCCGTTGAAAAAAGAGAATCTATAGAATTCCTAAAATGCTATAATAAATAGTTATTATTATATTAACTAACAGTTTTGTTATGGAGCCAACTGTTGGTTTCATATCAAAACTGTATTAACTAATTCAAAATCTGAATCAATAATTGCTCTTTCTCTCTCTTATTTTCATTCATTTTATTCTTTCTCTCTCTTTCTGCTCTTTTCTGGTTGTTTCTCTTTTTTCTCTTTTCTTTTTTTTCTACTTCTTCAAACATGAATGCCTAAAAAAGACACAAAAAAAAGAGATTAATCAATTGATTATATACATACCTAACAATTAAAATAATGAAAAAAGTATACAAGTATATATTACGAAAACAATAAAATAAACGCAACAACAATACAACAATATAACTTATTTCAAACAACATTGTAGACGATCATTTCCGTCAGCCTTCCCCGCAGGGGGTGGTGTGATGGTAGCAAGACTTGTCATGAATCCCACCTTATGCTCAGGGTGCAGGGTTTGAGTCCTGGGAAGGACAAAAACCACAGAGCACTGTGGAAGTCCCCGGTGCATGGTCATGGCCCACCGGGGGTCCCACCCCCCTGCGGGAAAGGCTGGCGGAAACGACCGTCAACAACAGTCATGTTATATAATAAATGATATTTTTCTCTTGATAATGAATATTGATTTTAAACCAAACAATTTTGCAAGAAAATTGGAAAACATCGACAAAAATAAAATTAAATTTTCAAACAATATGTCAGCTTCATTTCCATACAAAACATTTAACCATAAATGAAAGTAAATTCCCAAACCCGATTTATTACCAAACCGCATGGCAAGAAAATAGAGAACTCTTGAAAAAAAAAAAATGAAAGCGTTATGTATAAGAGTAATGCTACATTGCCAACTTAGTATACAACTAATCTATTGGTCCAATATTTTTTAAATAGTATGTGGGGATCTTCTATGGTCAGATACCCCTCGTACATATTTAACATCAGATTTCCACTATTTGACCATTAGATTGATTCAAAATTGAATATCAACCATAGATTCAATGTACAATACAAAAAAGAATTTGCCTCGTACTTGTATTGCCTCGTACATCTCGTACAGGCCAAAAAACCTATTATGCCCTTACTTCTTTAAACTTAAATTTATTTAATTAATTATAAAAATGTTAATTGTATTTATTTTCAAGGCCATTTATTTATCCTATTTGTCTAACATCCTACAAATACAGTAACATATAATCACATCCTTAAGTTTTGTATTATTACATATCATATCCCAATTAAAATTAAATAGTTTATTCATCTTTTTTTTATCGGTAGAGATTTGTTCATCGTTCTTCATTTCACGCCTTCATCTCAGCCTCATCGCCGTCGCGTCTGCCTTCAGTTCCACCGACGAGAACTTCTTATCCCTCACCTACTTCTACTCATAACTTGTCTCCGAACAATTTCACCCCATCCCAAATCCCCCTTATACATAAACCCTAATACAAGACCACTCAATTTCAACCTACAGTTAATTTTCCCTTGCATTCTTGTGCAAGCGCAGTGTGTTTATCATCACCATCGGCATCACCAATCACCACAAAGCTGGGGACGTGAGCTCGATTGTTGGGCTATCAAAGCCTGGAGCTCGTTAGCCAAGCTCGACCATGGCGAAAACATAAAGGTAAGAGAAAATGAAAATCTTCCACCTCCTCGAGTCTACAATATATCCCTGAATAAGGATCTATTGGGCCTGGTCGACGTATACTTGAACCAAATGCGGGCCCTTAAACTCGCGCTACCACCCCTCACATCCACGGCGAACAAAGTCCGGGTGACGCTTGTTCTACAGAAAAACGAAATCAAGGCCCTCCAGAATTCACTGTCGGCTCGTTACTCAGCCCTACCCCACCTATTGTGGGCCTGCCTGACACAAGCCGTGGGGTCGTCAATGACGACAAGCTCGAATACTTTGGGTTCCCCGTCGACAGTCGCAGCCGCCTGGAGCTGCCCCTCCTGGCTCGTACTTCAGGAACTGTCTGGCGTTTGTTGTTGTGGAGATTAAGTACGGTAAGTTGAGGTGTGAAGATGTGTTTTTCACTGCTGGGAAAATGATTGGGTAGCTTATTGCGAACAAGATGAATAAGAAGGAGGAGCTGCTAAGAGATGCAGATGAGTGGCTGGTGAAGTACTGGCCACTGATCGGAAAACGAGCTTTTGGGTTTTCGGGATCGCTAAGATTCGATTTGTATGATGGTGCGGATTTTTGGCTGGGGAAGCCCGCGAAGTACGAGGCTGTGTTGATTGATGGGGACAGGTCGATGACGCTCTGTAAATCGAGGGATTTTAAAGGGGGTTTGGAGATTGGTTTGTCTTTGGCTATGCTTTGGACTCTACCATGAGTTGAAGATGTAGTAATTATTCTTCTTTCGCATTTTTCGTTTCATGTGATTTAGTTGTTGTTGTAGAGTGTGAGACTTGTTGTTGTGTTGGATTTTTCTGAGTGGGATAGCAAATGAGGTGAGTCTAATCCAGCAGTAACTTTATCGTTTCATGCTTAAGATTTTTTTTTTTTTATTTGTCGTTGTAGAACGGGGTAGAATATACTTGCATGGATACAAGGGAAGTCTTTATTGTAGACCCGACAAGTTCTAATCAAGTGGATCCCGATTATCTGGTGTCGAGCCGAAAGCTTGAGAAGTGGTACAAAAATGTCGATGAAGGGTTTGTTTTTTTTGGCGACACTGCACAAACTATTGCCAGAGGGATTGATTTTTGCTTCGAAGATATTCGATCCTTGTTCTACACCGAGTTTTACATGAAATCTAGAAATGGTGATTTTCGAGGAAGAAGAGAAAAGGGGCATATCTCGGATATATTTTGTTTATCCCAGAATTTTCGTACTTATACAGGAGTACTTAGGTTAGCCCACAGTGTCATAGATACTATTTGCCATTTTTTCCCGCTGTCGATTGATGTATTACCTCCAGAGACGAGCCTTATATATGGCGAGTCTCCTGTAGTACTCGAGCCAAGAAGCGATGAGAACTTAATTATGACTATTTTTGGACATAGCGCAAATGCTGGTCGAAAATGGGTCGGTTTTGGTGCTGACCAAGTTATTCTAGTGAGAGATGATTCTGCCAGAAATGAAATCTTGAACTATATTGGTCATCAGCTCTTGTTTGAACTAGGGGAGGCACCATAAGCCCATGCCTAAGGCCTCCAATTTTTAGGGGCCTCAATTTTATTTTTTTTTTTTTAATGTTTATGTATTTGTGTTTGGTTTTGTTTATTTGCACAAATAAAGGGGCTAATGGCTAAATATGAACTTGGCCCATTACACAAATTAAGAGACTAATTACTGAAGAGGCTAATAGCAAAATAAGTACTTTGTGTAGAAATTTGAGACCCTAAATATTTCATTTATTTTCTTATGATGTTCGGTCAGAACAAGTTGTGTGAAAATAAATATTTTTTGCTGTAATATTATTTTTATTTTCTCCTCCTTATTGTCTTCGTGACTGCTTGAATGCAATTTATAATTTATTAAAGGTAATTTTTTCAAGGTCTTAAAAAACAAGAGAAATCGTTTTTTTTAATTATTTAATAGTCTTGTGTAATTAGATTTTTTTTTCTTCTTTGATTCTATCTACAAATAGCTCTACCACGCAAATTCAATTCGAGAAATTCGAAAAGGTAAAATTAAATCGAGAAAATTGAAAAGGTAAAACTTTTCTAGGGCCTCCAAATTTCTGGAGACGATCGTGCGAGCATGTGAAGCCACATATTTAGAGCGCCTTTTTTTATAAATATATATATAGAAAAAAGTGTACTAGTATAATGCCTACAGTACCACTACCGTGTGCCCAATTATGCACGCGCCTAATCACTCCCAAAAACTAAAAAAAAAATGAGAGAGTGTAGTACACATGCCACTTTTTTTTTTAATTGAAAATGAGACATATTAGATATATTAAAATATCATTAATGATTTATATTAAAATAAAAAAATAAATATACTAAAATTCATAAATTTTCATTAGCTATAAATAGAGACCACATTTGATAGGTTTTTTTTTAACATAATTAATTTTTTTTTCATAATCAATTTATTATACTGACATAGGATGAACATGTTACATAATAAGATGAATATGTTATCAAATAAGATGAACATGTTACAGACATGTTCATCTTATGTTATAACATGTTCATCTCATTTTGTAACATATTCATCTTATTTTATAACATGTTCATCTTATTGTGTAAATATGTAACATGTTCATCTTATTCTATAACATCTTACTATGTAACATGTTCATCTTATTCTATAACATGTTCATCTTACTAAGTAACATGTTCATCTTATTATGGATCTGCGTCTTCATCTTCCAACAAAATAAATTAATTGTGAAAAGTGATAAATTAATTGTATTCTAAAACTTATCAAATGTGGTCTCTATTTGTAGAGAATGAAAAATTATGAATTTTGGTATTTTTATTTTTATTTTTTAATATAAAATATAAATGATAATTTATATAATATGATATATAAAATTCATTATCCAATAGAAATGGGACACATGTCTCATTTAAAAGAAAAAAACTTACCTCACGCATTTTTTTAAAGGAGTGTATTTTACAAAGGCCTTGACACACCTTGCTAGGTACACCTAATTATTTGCGTAATGCCTACCCCAGCCTCACATTCACTCTTGTAATTGAGAATAGGTCCTGCCTATGTTCTTGATTCTATCAGTAAAACGGTTTCTTTATTTTTGTTCAATCTTTTTNATGTTTGAATGCTTATAAAACAATATGCACTAATTTCAATTTTGTTATTTTAAATTATTGTAATCATTATTTAAGTATATATGAAAAAAAATATTATTTTCTAAAATATTTACATTATGTTTTAGAATTAAGATAGCCGATAAATCCAATTTGTTATACCTGCCCGGGCAATCGCCGGCACGTCTGCGACAGGACTCCAGACATCGATGGATTATCGCCGGCGGCCGCCGGAGAAAAAGGAAGCGGCTGACGGTGCTGGGCCGAGCCGATGGCTGGCCGTCGGGGGTGGGGGCGGGTGTAGTTGTGTGTGTATATGTGTGTGCGCGTGTGTGGAGAGTGTGTGAAAGATAATGAGCGGTGGGTCCCAAGTGAGTTGGCAGGTTGTGAGTGGATAGGGTGAGTTGGTGCTGGGTAGGGCCCACGAGTTGGTTGGGTATTAAAAATATCACACTACCCTTAATGTGTTTAAAATTTAAGTTTTTTTGTATCAGTTGAATCATCAAATGTGTTTAAAATTTAATTTTTTTGTATCCGTTGGATCATCCGATTTGATGGCTAAGATTCATTATTATTTCTTTCATTAAGCATCTTTCTCACTTGTATTTAACCCTACATATACATGTATATGTATTTATATATTTATAACGATTCTATGTCCTCGTACACCAAAAGTTCAATGTCCAAATTAAATGACAAGCACATATATCAAATATGTCATTCGTTTTTTAATCGTCACCTAACCCAGCAGTCGCGCGCGTCCTAGAAAAGAATTGATAATTCAATTAATTTGCCATCAAGTCAAAACACCATAGAAAATAGTAATACATACGAGATAACTTTGGTTATTGGGACTCTTTGAATTTCTGTAAAAGTCATAACAAATTGAATTGAATAGTATATAAAATATAGAATGTATAGACAATAGTGCAATGTGCTCAAATATATAAACCCCTCAGTGTGGCCTTCGTGAAGCACAAACCAAAATCTCATACACATTTCCCTTGCGTTCAAGCTAGAAACAATCAAACAAACCAATAACCATGAAAGTGAAAATAACAAGCTCAAGGCTCTTCAAGCCATCCTACGATGCAAACCCTCCTCTTACATCAACCCACATTCCCTTATCCGTCTTTGACAAGGTCACCCACGACCAACACGTGGCCGTTATTTACGCCTACCATCCCCCAACCCCACCCAACTCTATTATCGATCTACCGCGAGTGGGCTGAAAGGCTTGGAAAGGACACCAACGGCGAGCCCGTTATATTTCTCAATGACGAGGATGTTCGGTTCGTGGAAGCGTCGGTCGACCATGCTCTGGACGAGATAGTGACTTCTGGGCCCTCTGCGTCCTTACTGAGCGTCCACCCGACCCCGAAGGGTGTGGTAGAGCTTCTCCAGGCCTAAGTCACACGGTTCTCATGTGGGTCCATGGCAGTGGGCTTCACAACCCACCATCTGGTGGCTGACGGGCATGCGACCAGCAACTTCCTGGTCGCATAGGGTCGTGCATGCCGTGGTCTTAGGAAGTTGCAGGAGACGTTTCATGGTCGCACGATGTTCGTCCCTCAATCGGAATCCACCCAAGATCGATTTCGAGCACATCGGGGTGGAATGCGTAACTAAAAATTACAAGAAGGTGTACCCCTTGATCGACAATAGTTTAGACGTTATTGTGATCCACAAAGTGCACTATAGTGCAGAGTTTCTTTCTAAGCTCAAGGCTAGGGCTTTTTCAATGAACAAGACTAGTTGCAAACCCTTTAGCACGTTTGAGAGCCTCGTAGCACATCTTTGGAGATCCATAACCAAGGCGCGCGGCTTGAGCGGGTTTAAGACCACCAAGTTAAGGTTTCCGTGGACGGTCGTACACGGATGAACCCTAGTGTGCCAGATGAGTATTTCAGTAATTTGGTCTTGTGGGCTTTCGTGAGAGCCAAGGTTGAGGATCTCTTGATAGAGCCACTTTCCTATGCAGCTACGGTTTTGCACGAGGCAGTCGTAGAGGTGGACGACAAGTATTTCAAGTCCTTTATCGACTTTGCGAACCATAAGGTTAGACAAGAGGACCTCATCTCGAATGCAGTTTCTGACACGGATGAGTCGATATTGTGGCCAAATTTGGAGGTGGACAGCTAGCTGAGGTTTCAGTTTCTGACACGGATGAATCGATATTGTGACCTTGATTTCGGATGCGGGAGCCCCTTCACTTTCATGCCTCCCTTTTCTCCAATAGAGGGGATGATCTTTCTTCTCCCTTCCATCAGTGGAGATGGAAGTATAGACGTCTTCGTTCCTCTATTTAGAGAAAGTTTGACGACTTTCAAACAAATTTGCTATTCTCTAGAGTAGAAAAATCTTTATTTTTGTTGATTTAAATGACAATTCTACAAAATAAGATGGCTAGAAAACATGAATAAGCTTTAGCACTTCTTTCACTGTGAAGATTAGATTGCACAATATTTGGTCATGCAATTTGAAATCTAAATTTCACATAGAAGTATATAAAGTGAATTTTAATTTTATTCAAAATTTTTCTTTATGAGTAAATCAAACTAATACACAAAAAGTCAACTTTTCACTTTAAATTAAATGTCAATCTCTTTTGCTATATATATATATATATTTGATCATTAATATAAATAAATAATGTAATTACAAAGTCTTCTATTTATATATGAACCGCTTATAGATTGCACAAAATTTAATAAATAATATATGTTTTACAAATTTGAGGCATCATAACAATTAATGAAATAAAAATATTAAAGTTATTGTTATAACAACTATTTACGCAATTTTATGGTGTTTTTTAGAATAAATTAGTTATTTAAAATAATCTTAATAAGACAAAAACAATAACATAATATTAATTCTCACATAATTACATTGGAAAAAAGGTTTGGCTATAGAATATTTTTTCTATTGTGTGACTCATAGTTTAGAAAACCAAACCGGACCAACCGGTCCGACCGATTAGACCGGGAACCGGTCAGTTGATTGATTTGGTTCGCTAGAAAGAACCGGTTTTCAGCGAACGTGTCAAAAACCGGTGAACGACAAATTGAAGGGGTTAAAACCAGTTCAAAATCGGCCAAAAAACTGGTCCGGTCGGACAGGTTGAACTGATTCTTCTTTTTTTTTTAGATTTAAATAATATAAATAAAAAATATATAATTAAATATAATGAATATATATAAATTATTATTAGTTAGTTAAGATTTGAATGTTTTGGTGAACTTCTATTGTGAGTTTATAATAAATCAAATAGACGAATAAAAAAGGATAAGTAAATAAAAAAGACCATTGTTTATCAACTCTGACCGTCAGAGTCGGAATCGGTCCAGGTGGACTATTCGGACCGGGTAACAATGGACCCGCTCAAACCCGGTCAACCTGGCCTTGACCCGGCCAGGTCAACCGGCCCCTTTTTTTTTATTTGTTTTTTAAAATACTTTTTATTTTTAAAAAATAAAACTATGTATATATGTTTATATGATATATATTATTAACACTTTTATGTATACATTATATATACAAAATATTTAAATTTATAACTTTTATGTACATTTTGTTGACAAAAATACTCTATATATATTTCTTAAAAGTTTAATAATAATTATCCGATTCAACAATTGATCCGGTGATCGACGATTAAACCAATAACCGTGACCCAAAGACCTGCTTGGATCGGGCCGTATTTAAAAAACTACGAAAAAAACCCTAAAAACTTTCTCCCAACCCTGTCTAGTACTGTCACAGTTGTATTGAGGGACGTGCACAGATTATAAGTCCAGTAAAATCTCAAAGTCTCATTTTTCTTAGCGATTTTTAACTTGAGATATCAGATTTGCGGTGCATTTGATTCGCCGATGGCGGAGGAGGAGGCGGCTGCCGACCGGAATTGCGCCGATCTTAGCGACACGAGCGACTATACATCAGAGGATGAGGGAACAGAGGACTACAGAAGGGGAGGATATCACGCCGTGCGGATCGGCGACACATTCAAGCATGGAAGATATGTTGTTCAGAGCAAGCTCGGCTGGGGCCATTTCTCCACTGTCTGGCTAGCCTGGGACACGCATAAATCTGTAAGTTTTTGGGTATTTAATTACTCCAAGTACTCACCATTGTTTGCAGATTTTCAAGCAATTATGTGTTTGGTTATGATTTATGCATAATCTTTCAACTTCATAGCAGCTACGGATGTTTTGTGTTGTTTCTGTCTCCTGTGCGTTAATTTTTGTGTATTGCCATAAAGAAATGAGAAAGTATGACTATGAGTGATTGATCTTTTAGTTTCTATTTGGGGATGTTTCTCCATGTTCTTTTAGTGATTGATCCCTACTCACCTACGAGAGTTTGGTGACTGCCACTAGTTACAGTTAATTATCGATTTTTTTGCATTTCTCTGATCCATTATTTGCATTCTGCATTTATGTTTAAATAATATGGTTTCCTCTGATGTGAGTTCGTAGTTAGCCATTCATTTTGTCATTTTGGTTTGTATGTTGAGTAAGTATAAAGAAATAATGTGTATCATACGGTTCTTATCGTCTGTAAAACATAACCATGTGCCCGTAAATACTAATCATAATTTTGTTGAGTTACGTTTTTATTTTTAATTTTGTGATTGAGGAATTAATTAATTAGTTACCATGCTTGATGTGATTGACAAGGGTAGTTTATGTTGACTGCTTTGTTGTTGATTAAAATGGATCTGGTTGCAGATGTATGTAGCTCTGAAAATTCAAAAGAGCGCCCAACACTACACAGAAGCAGCCATGGATGAGATCACAATTTTAAAGCAGATTGCCGAGGGTGATCCGGATGACAAGAAATGTGTCGTGAAGCTTCTGGACAACTTTAAGCATTCTGGGCCTAACGGACAGCATGTCTGTATGGTATTTGAGTACTTGGGAGATAATCTCTTGACACTAATTAAGTACTCGGGCTACCGTGGTGTTCCCCTTCACATGGTCAGAGAAATTTGCTTCCATATTCTAGTTGGATTGGATTATTTGCACCGCCATCTGTCAATCATACATACTGATTTGAAGCCAGAGAACATATTGCTTCTGTCTATGATGGATCCATCTAAAGATCCTAGAAAGTCGGGAGCACCCCTTATTTTAGCATCCAACAAGGACAAGATTGCATTGGAGCCCGAGACTTCTAAAGATATTAAGGGTTCACATAGTGGACTTACTAAGAACCAGAAAAAGAAATTCAGGAAAAAGGCTAAGAGAGCAGCTCAGAAGTGTACTGGGAATGAAGCTTCTGAAGAAGCCGAGCCAGACAATGAGACAAGTGATCCCGAAGAATCTCAAAAGGATGGTAAATCCAGACGGGAGCCTCTTGAAGAGAAAAGCAAAGCTTCGAGCGATGATGGAGCAAAGGCTGCTTCTGAGTGTACGAAGGCCAATAGGAGAGTTGATCGAACTGCAAAGCAGAAGCTGCTGGCCGAAGTTGACCTAAAATGCAAATTAGTGGATTTTGGGAATGCATGTTGGACGTACAAACAATTCACAAGCGACATCCAGACGAGGCAGTACAGATGTCCAGAGGTTATATTGGGGTCAAAATACTCAACATCAGCTGATATGTGGTCACTTGCTTGTATTTGCTTTGAGCTGGCCACTGGAGATGTTCTTTTCGATCCGCATAGTGGTGAAAACTATGACCGAGATGAGGTATTGCCACCCCACCCTTCTCTCTCACTCCCCTGAAATAATGTGTACATATGAACAAAAGCTGACTATTGTGCTGGATTGCATTTTTGGATGTTATGTGTTATTTTTACTTTGTTTTTGTGAACAACTCTTCAGTTCTTGCAGTGGATAGTGATGTTTCAAATGGCATCCTGATAACTGAATTTGATTAATGTTTCTATCAAGTTGTACTTCTCATTTTCTTATTAATTTCATGTAACTCTTGTGTTCTTTGGTGTTCTATTTGTTGCAGAACATACCTCATTGTATAGTGCTTCCAATTCCTCATAACTGAAGTATGGAATCCCCTTTTGTATGTGTGTTGATGCTTGTTCATATAATAAAATGTTTGTACCAATATATTTTGGTTTAAAATTGACTACACTAGGAAAATGTTTCAGTCTTTGTTTGAAAGGGTTGATTCTACTTGTAAAAATTTCTTTTTGAGTTGGCAAGTAGTCAAGTGCTGATATACAATGGATGGAAAAGGAAATAACAAAAAAGCTAGGGACTGCATAACCATTTACTCATGAGAAGTTGTTAGTAAACATTTCTGTTTGATTTTTCAACCACTGGTGTACAAAGCAAGGAAAAGAAACTAAATACGAAAACCACATACTCATGCTTTTGAAAAGGTTGTCTACTTGTTTTCCTGTCTTTACTTTCTGAACATCTGGCTTCATATTTTCACTCGTGGCGAAGAAAAGGTGAATTGTCTGTTGCTACAAAATTAGTTGTCACAAATTCACCAAAGTCCATATGAAAATACACTCCTTCAAAGTGCAAGTGATTAATATCTGTCAAATATTTACGAGCTGAACCATAAATATAAAATAGCAAAGTATCTCGAAGCAAGTTTCCTTACTGCAAGTATTGCATGTTATCTTAATTAGTTTATCATGATATGTTTTTGAAGATCATGTATGTAAAATTTTCACTGGAATTGAACAGGCTGCAGGCTGAATGGGTTGTGTTAGCATGTGATCTCATATAGTTTGTGTAGCAAGCAAACTAGTTTTCCCTTATGAATTTGTCATTTGCTCATTGTGATATTTGGATTAATATGACAGAAAGTAAAAATGTGGTTTCTTCTGTTTCCTGGTCTGTGTCCACATTTTCCTCCAGACTAATTTCATTTTTCTAACTCCTGTAATCTGCATCCACTTACTTAAGTTTCTGTAGAAAAATCCAATGTTTATTTGAGATCTTGCTGTCATTCGATTTTAAGTTGTAATGCTAAATGCTGTGCAACAAACTATATGCAATGGCGTTATTATTGACACTGATTCTACATGACAAAATAGTTTCTGCAAAACTTATATGCCAACTTGATCTATTTTTTTTTTTTTATATTAGAGTTCAGAACTGTCATCCTTTTTACTTCCAACTCTAAAATTTTATTATAGTAATCTGAAACTCTCGTGTAGTGGTTGGAATAACCGAGTATATTTTGCCTTTATAATTTGTAGGATCATTTGGCCCTAATGATGGAGCTTCTAGGAATGATGCCACGCAAGGTGAGTACTGCTTTATGTCTCTCGAGTAGCAAAGGAAAAAAATGTGCAACCAATTTGTAAGCTTCGTTGGCCATTGTATGTAATCCCAAGTTATTTCTTGCTTGACCAAAAAAAATCCAGGTTGCATTGGGTGGGCGTTACTCACGTGAATTCTTCAATAGATTTGGAGATCTCAGACACATCAAAAGATTAAGATTTTGGCCTCTCAGCAAAGTCCTTAAGGAAAAATATGAGTTCAACGAACAAGACGCAAATGAGATGGCGGATTTCCTTGTTCAGATTCTAGATTTCGTGCCTGATAAAAGACCGTCCGCCGCACAATGTCTTAATCACCCTTGGATTGTTGGAGGTCCACGCCAAAGTGTCCCTTCTGTGTCTCAACAAGTGAAGGTAATCGAAAATGGTTTGAGTGAAAAGGATGAGAGAGAGGCAATGGAAGTCGGTGTAGGGAACATGGCTATTGGTGGGGCGGTAAAATCTGCCCAAGATTCGAAAATATTATCGAGCCATTCAAAGCAATGATAAAGCTGCTGGGTTTTTGGTACCATCTTTGACTAATGTTTTTAGTCCCCAACATGTTTTCAACATTTGGCTCGCAAGTGGAGCATGAGTTGACTGTTGGCATTTCGTTGCTTCTTTATTTTTTTCTCCATTGTTCTCTTGGTATAATATGTGTCCAAATTCTCATGACTTGTAGTTGGATGCTGAAATTTATCTGTTGGTGTTCTGATGGAACTTCTGTGTATTGTTGTAACGGTATCCTGAATTCCTGACCAGCCGCAAAACGGGGTAAGTGATATTTGCTTGCTGTGCTGTGGTCAGGTAGTTCTAGTTGGCCTTGTGGTGTTTTTCTCGTGCTTGTTTTGTTTTACGTAATTCTAGTATTTTTCATGTTATTTTTTTTTTCTTTTTTCTTTTTTTCGGCTTCTCATTAAATGTGAGTATTGTTAGCTGGGGAATGTAAAAAGTGTTTGCGCACTCTAAAAAACAAGGTGTTCTCAGCTTCTTGCATATGAAACTGAAAGAATTTGTTTCTCCCAGTTAGAAGCTGAAAAGTAAAGTGCTTTTGTTTTTATTTTTCTTCTAGAGTTTGGAAATGCAAACACTACTGCGGTTTATGTGGCATTGTCTAAAAAAATACCAATTTGGGATTTGCATATCTAAAAATATAACAGAACGTATGCTTGCCAAGAAGGTAAAAAAACAATTTGAATAAAGATAAATTGTTAAAAAAAACATAATTTTTTTTTTCCACCCGACCTCGTAGGAAAATACAAACTTGACCAAAAAAAATATGATGATGAATTCCCGCCTCTTTATGTTTATTTATATTTGGGTTTTGAACCAATTTTACTTACACTTGAATCTTTGAATCTCACTGCTAAATCCTACATTAAATTAATGAATCTTGATAGTTATTAACCAAAAGCTCCGAGAAATTCCACTCCCATTATTTTCTTCAGCCACAAAACGCTCATGGCTGTAATTTTTCATCAGATCCCAATACATGCAATCACACAATGGTAAAAAACAACAAAGTT